TTACACTGAAGTACTCCTGAAAAATTCCTCCTTAAAGTTATTTACTGAATTATTTACTTGCTTATAGAAGGTGTTCATCATTAGAGGCTAAAAAGCCTATGGATTTAAAATTAACATTTCTTATTCAGCATAATAGTAATAATATTCTTCAGACTGGCAAGGGACTCATAGAAGTTTCTATTGGTTATGAGCAGGGGTCATTTCCTGCGAGAGCGCACAGGAGCGGAGCTCTGGCAGTAAGGAGCTCAGGGGGTGTGCACATGCAACAAGCCCCACCCCCTGCTCCCAGTCAGCAAGAAGCAGCCAGGTAAGTTGCAGAGCCCCCCCCCCGGCCCGCCTTCAGGTACAAAATCTCCCTCCTCTGTGAGGGCAGATCTGTGCATCCCCCCCCCATAGCTAGCAATCCAAAACAGTCCAGTGGTACCTTTAAGACCAAGTTTTATTCAGGTACAAGCTCTCCCTCCTCTGTGAGGACAGATCTGCATACCCCCCCCCCCAATAGCTAGCAATCCAAAACAGTCCAGTGGAGCCTGAGCGGTGGGTAACACACTTCCGGTGATGTCAGGGGGTGTGGCATATGCAAATGTTATGCTAATGAGCCCCTGCACCTCTTTTTCAACAAAATGACCCCTGGTTATGAGGAAACCTCTGATTTTCCATTCACTTTTTGAAACCCCTCCTATAAGTATGGTAGCCTCACCTGGCAAGATGGGTAGCCTGTGCCCAAAATAAAGTTAATGGCTGAGTCCACAGTCCTTTTCTTTCACAAAAATGCACTTCTGAAGAGAAACTTCAACAGAGCCACCTCCTTCCAAAAACTCCATTCCCAAAATAATGATGTCTCCCCCCTCTTTTTGAACATCTTACCAGCACAGCAGAATAAAACAGTGGTTCATTTTCTTTAAAGTTCACCCTTGTAAAGGTTTATCAATAAAGTAAGGGTGTGGGTAGCTCCATCTGGCTTCAGTGAGATGGGAGAAACAGAGGGAACCAGCCAGCATTGAAGACATCTAATTTGCATTTACAACTGAGGCTTTGAGGAGAAAATTCATAGGGAAATAAATCAGTTATTACATTTAAAAGAATATGTTTTATGCCAGTTTCTTTGCTTGCCTCACTGAGAACATATAGTTGTGTGACCAATAATTATAGCTTTTTCTGGCATCAACAAAAGCTAAATGATATAAACAAGTACAACCGTTTATATACAACTCTCCCAGGCAGCTTCATTATGGTGTCCAGGCCCAAGGCATCCACTTGAGTTACCACAAGCATGTAGAATACAAAAGAGAAAGAGAACTGCTGCTTTAAAACAGAGATAACTGGGCAGTGGAGGACAGCCACATGCCACAATACTGCCCCAAAGGGCAAATATTCTCATATAACACAATGCAGTTGTATTGTGGGAGATGTAAATGAGGAAAATGAAGAACACAACATTGAACAGAAACGTGTTCCCTCCCACTGAGGGAGCCAGTTTGGTGTAGTGGTTAATAAGTGTGTGGACTCTAATCTGGGAGAACCGGGTTTGATTCCCCACTCCTCCACTTGCACCTGGCTGGATGACCTTGGGCAAGCCGTAGTTCTGATAAGAGCTGTTCTTGAAAAAAGAGCAGTTGCTGTCAGAGCTCTCTCAGTCTCACCTACCTCACAGGGTGGCTGTTGTGGGGAGGGGAAGGGAAAGGAAAGGAGTTTGTAAACTGCTCTGAGACACCTTTGGGTAGTGAAGGGCAGGGTATAAATCCAATCTCTTCTTCTTCTTCCCAGCACTGGAAGTAACAATAATCATGCAATCAATGTGTCAGCCCATAACAATACAAACAGCCTATGGAGCCATCTAAGGTACAATGAAAGGGCTGTGAAAAAATGGATTGGTCCCTTAGAATCATAGAATCATAGAATGTTAGAGTTGGAAGGGATCTCGCAGGTCATCTAGTCCAGCCTCCTGCACTCTGCAGAAGCATAGCCGAAAGGTAGCCCTACAACATACCCGAAAGATGGTCATCCAGCCTCCACTTGAAAACGTCCAGTGAAGGAGCATCCACCACCTCCCGAGGCAGACTGTTCCACTGGTCAACCACTCTTACAGTTAGGAAGTTTCTCCTGATATTTAGCCGGTAACGACTCCCTTGTAATTTCTACCCATTAGATCTAGTCTTGCAATCCGGAGCAAGAGAGAATAGATCCGCTCCATCTTCTACATGACAGCCCTTCAAATACTCAAAGACTGCAATCATGTCTGCTCTAAGCCTTCTCTTTCCCAGGATAAACATACCCAACTCTTTCAGCCTTTCCTCATAAGACTTGGGATTCCAACCCACTCACCATCCTGGTTGCCCTCTTCTGGACATGCTTGAGGTTGTCAACATTCTTCCTAAAATGTGGTGCCCAAAACTGGACACAGTACTCCAGGTGAGGCCTGATCATAGCAGAATAGAATGGAACTACCACCTCCCGTGATCTGGACACAATGCTTCTGTTAATGCATCCTAAGATTGCATTAGCTTTCTTTGTAGTCACATTGCACTGCAGGCTCATGTTTAGCTTGTGATTAACCAGGACACCCAGATCCCTTTCACATGTGCTACTGTCAAGCCAAGTCTCTTCCACTCTATGTGCCTTTGATTTTTTGTACCTAAGTGTAAGACTTTGCACTTATCTCTATTGAAATTCATTTTATTTGTCTCAGCCCACTGTTCCAGCCTATCTAGATCATTTTGAATCCTGACTCTGTCTTCTTCAGAACTAGCAATCCCACCCAGCTTCGTGTCATCTGCAAATTTGATAAGCATCTCCTCTATGTCTTCCTCCAGGTCATTTATAAAAACATTGAACAATACCGGGCCCAATACCAAGCCCTGTGGCACTCCACTCAAGACTTCCCTCCACGTAGACGCAGAGCCATTTACGAGCACTCATTGAGTACAATTGTTCAACCAACCATGAATCCATCCAACGGTTTCACCATCCAGCCCACACTTAACCAGCTTATTCTCAAGGATATCATGAGAAACTTTGTCAAATGCTTTACTGAAATCTAGATAAACTATATCCGCAGCATAGCCAGAGTCAACCATTTTAGTAACTCTGCCAAAAAAGGAGATAAGGTTGGTCTGGCATGACTTATTCTTGATAAACCCATGCTGGCTACTACCAATTAACTCATTCCGTTCAAGGTGCTCACAGACAGAGTGTTTAATAATCTGCTCTAGAATTTTTCCAGGTATTGATGTCAAACTGACAAGCCTGTAATTTCCTAGCTCTGTCTTTTTCCCCTTCTTGAAGATCGCGACAACATTCGCTCTTCTCCAGTCTTCCGGCACAACACCAGTACTCCAGGACATTTCAAAGATTAGAGCCAGAGGCTCTGAAATAACATATGCAATTTCTTTTAGCACCCTGAGATGCAAGCCATCCGGCCCTGGAGTTTTGAAAGTATTTAAGGCAGCTAGATGCTCTCTAACCATTTCCTTACTTACTCTGGACTGGCAGTTCCTCCTTCCTTCATATGCCCTGCATTCTTCAGTTTGTATGCAGCTTTCCTTACGGTTAAAAACCGACACAAAGTGAGAGTTGAGTAATTCCACTTTGTCTTCATCCCTTGTTAAGGCTTGACCATCTTCCCCTAGCAATGAGCTTACCCCAACCCTGTTCTTCTTTTTGCTCTGAACATAGGCATAGAAACCTTTCTTGTTATCTTTAGCATCCCTCACAAGCCTCAGGTCCATCTGCGCTTTACCCTTTCTGATTTCTTACTTTTTGATTCAATCAGAAGTAATAGGGGAAAGCATACATTTCTCTTAATATTATCTGGAATGTTTAGATGCTGCCTCTCATGTAGATTCCCAAGGCAATTTACAGCCAGATCAAACAATTAAAATGCACTAAATCTATGGCAAAAATCAGTAAAATTTTAAAAAGGATAGCTGTTTCAGAGGGTAGTCATGTTGGTCTGCAATAGAACAGTTAGATTCAAGACCAGTAGCACCTTAGAGGCCAAAAAGAGTTTCAGAGTACAAGCTTTTGAGGGTCAAAGCTCTGTTTGTCAGACATGAATGGAAAGAACAGCAGCAATTCTTCATAATGAGATTACAGCACCAAAAAGTACACAAAGCAAATAAAACACAAATAATAGCAACCTAATAAATGTGCGACAAACAAAACAAACCATCAACAAAACAGTTCCAGCAATAGAACAATCATATGCAGAAGAACTGTATACATATCAAACGCAGTTCAGCAATAAAGCATTTCTAACAGCCATCCATTAACACAAGATTAAAAAGCCTAAATACATAAAAAAGATACTTATCTGGCACCTAAAAATTAACAACTTAGCCACCAGGTGAATTTCTGTGCAGAGGGCATTCTATATCCAGTTACCACCCCTGAATGGCAATTAATTAACTTCAGAAAATAGGGACACACAAAACAGGCCTTGGGATACAGAGTATGTGCTCCTTCAAGGTTCCCTGCTTCTTAGCCTAGTTCTTTAATGGTAAGAATCAACACTCCAAACTGTTCCCAGACAAAAATAAGCAGTCAGTGTAGTTTAATACCAGCATGGTTCATTGTAACTCTTGCCAACAAATAATCTTGCAGCTAAATTTTATACTAATTGAAGACTCCAGCCCATCTTCCACATAACATGAGTTACAGTAACCTAAGCTGGATGTAATCATGAATGGAAATAGATTAACCGTAGACAGTTGGCTTATACCTGCAGCTGCCTTTGCCTCATAAGGCCATCTGAAATAATGAAGATTAGATCTACAGATCTATATCCTTCTGAGTCCACTGAAGTCAGTGGGTTTGAATGGTGTAATTCTGTTTAGAAAGGCACTGCAAATTGTTTACACCAGTAAGTAAGCCTGAAAGTTTGCACAGGCATCACCATCCTGCTCTGATACACCGGTAAAAGAAAGATTTTTTTGGCTAGTCTCCCCACATTTCCCTCCTTTGGTCAGATCTGAGTAGGTACGGATGGCCTAAATACTCACCTGACATATTTTGGATCACCAGTTCAAGATCCTCTGCTGTCTCAAGTTGTAAGGGCCTAACAGCTTTGACACAGTCCCACAGCAATGGGTGTACAGAAACTGTTCCTGCCTTTTTCTTCATTTACAGATCTGAGGATGGACTTTAACCAAAGATAGTCACTTCAAACAAATTCCATTACCTGTAGAGAATGGAAGGAAACAACTTGGTGTGCAGTTGATTTTGAACAGGAATGTTGATCACACACACTATAAAACACTTGGGATTCACCATAGTGGTTGTGGAAAGTGCTGTCAAGTCGCTGCCAATTTATGGTGACCCTGTAGGGTTTTCAAGGCAAGAAACAATCATAGGTGGTTTGCCATTGCCTGACACTGCACTGCAACCCTAGACTTCCTCAGTGGTCTCCCATCCAAATAATAACCAGGGCTAACCCTGCTTAGCTTCCGAGATCTGAGGAGATCAGGTTAGCCTGGGCCATCCAGGTCACCCTAGAAACCAAAAACCTAGGTGCCCCTGCAGGGTATCATGGGACAATTTGAGACATCTGGAAAAGTGGCCAGGATGCTTTCCCCACCTCACAGATGCACTCCAAAACACACTTAGAAGGCTGATGGGGTTTATTTCCCATTATATTTGATTAGCACTATCATACTTATTCTGCTCAGAAATACAACTACTTGACTGATAACTCTTGAGAAATCATATACAATCATCTTTTTTGTGCTTAGACACACATCTCAGTGAAAATTTAACAGTATAAAACCTTTCTCCTTTATTTCGTTACTTCATTTACACCCCACTTTTTCCCCCAATAGGGACTCAAAGTGGCTGACATCATTCCCTTCTCCTCCATTTAATCCTCACAACAACCCTTTGAAGTATATTAAGCTGAGAGGACGTGACTGGCCCAAGTTTCCATGGCTGAGTGGCAACTGGAACCTGCATCTCCTAGATATTGGTTCAGCTCTGTAACTTGACAGTTAGTAGTTACTGGTTCTTTGATTCACAGAAATATATGAAATGCAGACTGACTAAATTATTAGAAATTACCCAAGATTAAGTATAAATTATAATTGATTTGTATTTAACAAAACTAATAACCAAATATTTTCTTTTTACAAGGGAACCGTCCAAACTAAAGCCTACAATATTTAAAATGATAACAAAAGAATCCATCAAATGATATTAGTATGAATCCTTCAGTAAAACCATACTCCAGCATTCAATATAAATACACCAAGAAAAACCTTTATAGTACTACCTTGCCTATATTTTTGTTTCCATGTAAGACCAAATTAGTTATTAACTTAACTTGACAGTAGAAAATGAATATCCATCAATTTATAGAGCATCATTTATATTTTATGTGAGATTACAAAGGTCCTTTGAGCTTATTAGGAATAATAGTGTTGGTGAGAGGGGGCAGTGATGGATGTAAAAGAAGAAGATGGATTAACAACAGTGAGGAAATACCTGAGCCATAACAAATAAAGAACACCTTCTAATATGCATCACTAGATTTTCATCT